CATTGCACTTATAATGAGAATTTCAAAATCAAAATCAATTCATCGATTTTGCTAATGAATAAAATTGCTTCAAAAAATGGAGTAATTTCAAAGTAGTTATCACATTCAAAATGAGGTTATTGTCGTTAAAATAGAATTTTGCATATCATCGCGTTCAAAGTTTTCTTTCTAAAGTTGTTATGTTTTGATTAACAATTCTATACACAATCTCTTTGTCTTATGAAGCGCAGAGGAACATTAAAGCTATTTTTAATCCTAATTGAAAAATAGTTGAAAAATATAGATATTAAATATATTTAAATTAATGGAACTATTTCAGAAAAAAAAAGAAATATTATTGTCTTGACAATTAAATGTTGGTACATGTATAATATGAACAAGGCAGTTTCACAGGTGTGATTTTACAGAGTACCAATCTTTCAAAAAATCCACATAAATTTAAAATTTAGGAATTTTGCAAAATTAATGACAGCCTAAATACGAACAAGGCGATTGATAGTAACATTACCTCGCTTCCGGTCCTCTTGTTGGAGTGATATCCGGAAGTGACAATTCTTGAAAGGAGCACATAAACAAGTTCCGTTCCTTCATGCTTGTATACTTTGCTAATTACCAAATCATTATTCCGGATACAGCTTATTTGATCCGTGTGATGCGCTCAACGCAGACGACTGACTAACGTTCGTGGCATTGACCAGGTCGTGCCGCAAATCAGCGAGCGGAGAATCTGCCATTGATTGTCTTATCTTTTCATAAATGATCAGAAAAAATCCGTTTAGACTTCGTTTTAAGCCTACATATTAAAAACTGAATCCTCTCTCGTGCAATTGAGTAATCCTAGTTAAAAAGCAGACTTGAATTGACACAGACAGATTTTAAAACCCTTTTTCTCCACTGTTTGATAAGTCTCCCTATAGTGTCGATTCTCTGGAAATAAATTTCAATGTTTTTGACAATCCCTAAATGAGACGGTACAATCGAAGGGTTGCTTTTACAGCAGTTTGAAATGGTGCAATATAAATTATCATGCGTATTCTCACTTTGCACTATCGCTACCACATCGAGTACAGGGTAGGGTGCGCAGTTACGATTGTGTTGCCAGTTAGTATAGAAGCACTATCAAGATTAAAGAGTTCCGTCATTGCTCGCTGGAGAGTCATTCCACCCCCTTGCCAGTTTCGTAATTAACAACTTATCGTCAGTATGGGCCACAAAAAAATAAATTAAAAAGTTTCGTATATAATTTGTTATAATGCAAAGAGGTGTCTTCGAGTGCGTTTCCTTAAGAAATCCATGCAATTACCTTAGAGATAATATACCGTTAATGAACTTCCATGTGTGTAAAGGGCTGGCCTTGAAAAGAGCTGTCATATTAAAGAACCACCTTATTTCAAAAATCTTGAATTTGCGTAAGAGTTATGTAAACATTGTTAAAAACCAAAAAGAGAAATAGCCATCTGTACTAAATCTGTATTTGCTTTACAGCCAACCTTGCAGTTCAAATCTTAAAAGGGTGTTTTAGATTTAATTTCTAGTCGTAAAATAATGAAGACATTCGTTACAAGGTACGCGATATTTTTAGAAAGCAACAAATGCCGTTTGATTATCTTGAATTTACTCCACCTTTCGATAACATCTTACTTTTTATTTTAAAAATACATTTGGATATTGAAATGCAGTGAAGAAGATGACACACCAAAAACTAGCTGTAGATTTATAAGATAAGTAGTACAAAGAGGTATATATAAGCTTTTCATTGCTGATTTATTTCTCCATTACTTTGTAAAACGACCACCAGTGAAAATACCGTGGTATTCTAAGCAATTTCAACTTTACCTTATTTAAATTAGATTGTCATCTTCTAATATATTAGATAATTCTCAGAACTTAGATTTGATTTTAATTGTATGATAATGCATGTATGCCATTTTATAACATTTTTACCCTCATATTTGCACTCATAAGTTAAGATGTGTAAAGTTTGGTTTAAATTGGCTCACTGGTTATGGAGAATTTTATAAAAATTACAGTGACAAAACAGACCAACAAATCAACTGATTTGATTCACTTTGGCTCAGGTAAGCTAAATCTAAAGTTAAGCCAGAAATTGTTTGATAACAAGATAAAAAAAACCTAAGATAAGCACAAATCTGAAGATTTTCAAAACATATTTTCAAGATCGATGTAGAATCAATGCTGATATGCTCTGTGAGAAGGGATGCTCCGCTTTGCGGTGCCCTTGTTTCATACAAACTTTATATCATTTTACCAATGAATTCTTACAAATGCAATTAAATATCATATCTCAGTCATCAATACAGTTTAAAATGGCATCGGGTGAAGGACAGTGTATGCGTAGAATGTGAGAAAATCACTCGTAAACATCTCATACTGTACCCCCTGGTCTAGAGCAAATACTTATACCTCATCCTAATCCCGGCTTAGAAAATATGGACCATAAATCTATCGGAAAAAGATTTCAAGGATATGATGAATGCAACTCTATCTCAAATGAAAGAACTTAAATGTTAGACAAATACCAAGTTGTACAACCAAGCTCTGCAAACAATGTGCATATCAATATTCAATGGAATCATCGATTGAGTTTCCACTGAACTAAAACATCTCTTAAAAGCATATCGAGTTATGTGAATTTACGCATGTGCACGTATAATATGATTCCGTCATGAAAAGACATGTCTGATGGAAAAAAAATTATATTCAATAACTTAATAGCGTATCACTTTTTATAAAATAAAAAAAATTAACATGAAAAAAGGTACTCGGTTGTTCGAGAAATACGAAAAAGAAAAAGTTGAGCCATAAGGCCTCATGGAAAAGCATAGTTGCAACACTGTAGCTCTCTGGAAAAATAATGTATTGGATGGCCTGCAGCTAGAAAAATCATTTCTTTTAATTTTTGTGCTACCTAAATGCTGTCTTATTAATTAACATCATCGCTGTTTTTTTCTTAAATTAGGTTATACACAAAACTACTCTAGTATTTTTTCACAATTTTTTGTTTGAAAAAATCTTGTTCATTAATTTTATTTCATAATGGAAATTTTATATGGGTGTAAATGAAGTGTTTTCCCATGCACAGATTTTTTTACTAAAAAATAAAAAAAAGTTGGTGTTATGAATTTTTTAGAAAAACGTTACAAAACTTTTTCTATTTTAATTTAAAAAAAATGTGAAAACCATAGTTAGAAATGCAGCGTATTTTTAAAGATTCTTTTAATATTTGTTGAAGGAGAAGTAAAAGTGGTCGATAATGATTGAATTGAATAACGCTTAAATCCGAATATGGATTTCTGATTTATTGAATATCAATAATCCGGCATTTAGCTTTAAATGTTCGTGTTATTCCATCAGAATGTGAGATTTTCCCGTCTTTGGACAGATTACACGTTGTTCTTACGAAAAAAAAAATCAGAAAAGCAGGGAGAACAACTCCAAGAGTACGACGTGAACATTTTTAAACCCTCTACATGAAATAAATTTTTCCATCAATAAATAAATGCAATGAAGCACATAAGATATTTTTTGTATGCCTTACCTGTTGCTTTTATCAGGATGTCCATTCTGATTAATATTCCACAATTTCACGTGGCTGAAGAAGTTTCAGAGACGAAAAGCCTCATTGCTTTAAACAAAACAGTTAAAATAAAAGAAATGCAAACAATTAAATAAGAGCATTCCGTGCAACGCGTTCTATTGAAAAGTCAAAGTTAGAAAGCTTTTTTTTTTACCTTGAATTACTACAATGCACCCAGAGTAATCATTGTTTTGAAAATTACTCTTCCGAGGTGTCCGTAACAAACAAAAAAATCAAGACTTATCTAGCAATTATCTCTTCTTATTGCCTGTTTTAAATGTTTAGTCCAATAACGTTCGATCAAATTTCAAGAATAGATCGCTAAACTTTAAAAAATCACAATGAATAATTAATAGATATGGAGTTAAAATTGTTTGCTTGCGCTTCTATATATAAAATGTCTTGATAAACAACAAAAACATTGGTGATGTTTTTTTTTAATGTTTAATAGCAATGTCATACTCGGATATGTATCACTGCAATCAATATGTTTTGATGATGAACAAAACTTTGTTATATAATGAATGATACACTCTGTAAATAACTTGACATTCTAAACTATAGACAAAATCATTTCTGATCGCCATTCGATCCACAACCTGAAATAAAATCGGAACAGCAAATACTCCATTTCACACTCCCGCCAAAAGCTGTACACAACCCGCCGTTCAAACGAATACTATAAATCCAAGTTATACTTAAATGTCCATATTTATAAAAAAAATTCAGAGTAAGAATGGTAAACATCTCAATATATAGTAATTGTTTCCATAACTGAAACAAGGCTAGAACTAAACGAGTATAAATTCAGAAAGAAAAAATTTGACAGGTCATAATTTCATTTGTTATTGTACAGTAAAACTTCGGTATCTCAGTCACCGATACATCGTGTACCATGGATATGTCGCAGTGAAATGGAGGTCCTAATCATTTGTTGTATTTGACTCTCGACATCCCGAAGTTTTCCAAGGTCCTGTCGAGTTCGAGATAGTTTTGACTGTAAGTTTTAAATCGACATGCAAAGAAATATTCTGTATAGGCGTAATAACAGACCAGCAAGCATTACAGTTAGAACACAAATTTCATTACATTAACAAACGATTAGATTTCAAATTATTTCGAGATACCTGGTTATATTTAGCGTCAGATTAGGCAAAATACACCTAGTCCTGGGCAAAACTGCAAATTTAAAAAAAGAGATTAATTAATAATAAGCCTTAGTTTCTCGTTAGTTCGATAAAGAACATACAGATAGATGGAAGGAAGGACGAGGGGGAAACCTATGGTCCCTTCCAGTAAAGAACTAATAATGTACCTTCATTGTACACTTAGATATCCATAGTCACCCAATGAGAGTGTAAAAATAAAAATAAGTAGCTTATAGACGCAAGCAAATTCAGATCTATTTAATGAATATAAGTCCAGGAATTTGACCGTGATCCACATCTGTTCCATTTGCCTCCCCTGACGATTTGTGAAAGTCGAACTGAACACCGTCACTAGTTACGGATTCCTCACCTCCTTCTCCCCAGTAGCTTCGTGGACCCTGCATGGTCACAGATATCGTGTACTTTATATTCGGTGAAATGTGCACAGGTTCCGGAAAGAATACGTTGAAGGTTTTATATGGTACTCTCACAGGAACCGTTGTGCTCACGTGGGAAAGTTCATTGGAAAGAAATGGTAAACCAGTTCTAAGGATGGAGGCATTCACGCTGTACTCTGTCCCCTCAATTCCACAGCCGTACATCACGATTCCATGAATATATATTGTCTTGGAAGACGTAAAGTCAATTTTATCGGATTTCTGTCCCACATACCAAAGATTTTCGTTCCTAAGTGAAACGTGTCCTTCGCGCGCAAATCGCATCGCCACTCTTTGTCTGTTACTTTGTGACATGTGGGCATTTTGCCTCGAAGAACTAGATCTCGCATATCTTCCTCTCCGTTTGGATGTCTTAAAATTACAATCAGTCTGAGATTTATGACCGCTGCATATAAAAGTGAAAATAGCAAGCCTTTCCGATTTTGACAGTATTTCACGACAAGCTACATTTTCGGCAAAATATTTTGAATCCATGATAGGGAACCTGATGTGATTCAAGATTTTACCGAGGGCCTGTCGTCTGTTGGCATCATTTAAATCTTTGTCTTTCCGAACACACTCAGCATCTGCCCACTCAAGAACCCTCTCTAAAATCAAGTACTCCTCTACGGTAAGTTCGTCAGAGGAAATGATGTTATCTATACATTCTGCACAGAGATCTAAAAAGGATTCTGATTGGATACATTTCACGGACTCTTTATAGAAAAATTCTCGACACTTCCGGAGTAGTTCTGCGTCGTTAAAAGTGTGAGCACTTTCCATGATACTGCAGACATTGGAGACCGACATTGTCTCTTCCAGAATCTTTTTGCATTTTTTCACAATTTTCATCAGACCATATTTGTTTGCTGCGTAAAGCAAATCTGGAGCATTATTCGTTTGAACAGTCAAATCTTCATAATACAGAAAACTGAAAGAGAACGAGGAATGTGAAAAAAATTAAATGATAAATACAGGATTTGTGGTAACTAAATTTCAAGAACTCAAAAATTTTCTTTTCCATACTACTCGTATTTAGTGCTCAGAATATTAATTTTTATTTTATCATATTACTTTAGGTTGTGTATACTAGCCTACCGCAGGAGAGAGGCAAAAATGTTTGGTTTCAAATCAGGAATCGCAATTTCAGTATTTGTTTCAGCCACAGGACCGTAAAACATGGCAAAAAAGACAGAGCTTCGACTCGCAAGAACATATTTATGGGCGGACATGCGCTGTCGCTCTCTTCCGATCAAGAAAGTGATGTCACAATTAATTTCATTGGTCAGCATGTACTTATTGCAGTCGGTAACAGATCGGAAGGATTGCCAGTCTTCGTTTCTCTGAGAACCGTCAACCGCCATCAAAACTAAACATTTTCATAATAAAATTTTTAAAAATCTTAATTTTTTTAAAGGGTTATTACACAGATATTTCATCAATTTACAAATATGAAATAAATTGTCCACTGAAAAGCTTTACCTAGTTTTCCTGATTTCCCAGACCAGATTGAAAGTAAAACAATACACTGACATTAGGAATAATAACATAAGATTTTGTCAAATGTAGCGATCCATGTCTTTCCTCTCTATATATGAAAGAGAAATATTACTGTTCGCATTACCGGTAATTAGATTTAAAGAATGACATTTATATCCCCATTTGTGGAATGTCTTTTAAATTTTATCCGCAATTTAGGGATGAAAAAAATTAAATGGCGGTGAAAATTTGATTGAATAGTAGAATTCTCAATGTATTATTTGTCCCCTCTTTCCCAAGATTAATATCTGCAACAAACTTTTTTTCACAAACCAAATTACTTTATCACTCAAAGGAGAGATAACTCGATATTCCGGAAAGTTGAAGGATATTTTATGCACCGCATGAGCCAAGTTGGAGGCGGAATGTTGGGGGTGGAAATTCATATACCAGAAAAATTATTAGTACAGACATTGTATCTAAGTCTGCGACTTTCTGTGATAAAAAAATTCAAGACGAATGTGATCATAGATCATTAAAAAAAAAATAATAAAAAAAAAAAAAAATCGAAAATTGGCCTATTTTCTGACCCCTCTTTTCCAAGTAAGCATTGAACATCTGACCATCATTCACGTACATGTAGGCCCACGTATAAATGTACGTTATATAATTAGGTAATCCGTCTCGAAACTTGTCAGTCTTATCTCCAGTTGTATACAAAATGAAGTCCATTTTGTGTATTGGACTATTTTTCCTTCCTTTGGTGTACTGTGAGTTATGTACAGATTCTTATTTTTTACAATGTACACCAACAAATCCTGTCCTGTCTTCAATAAATTTTTTTATCTTTAAGCTGCATTGGATAACGGGAACAAAATTCATTGTTGCGTTTTTGGACAACTTTCACAATCCAAAACTTGACATCAGTCCAGAACTATTTATTACTACCGCCAGTAATCACCCAGTCCATGTTCACGTCAATTCCCCAGGCTCCACAAATCCTAGAATCCACATGTCCTTTGTTGTGACCCGCGGTGTTGTCCACAAGGTGGAAGTCGATCCTCATTTTCGTTTGAACCATACCGAACTGGTCAACAAAGCCATCAAAATAACAACTGATGATGAGATAGTTGTCTACGGCGTCAACAGAGAGACGGCATCAGATGACGCCTACCTAGCCTTACCAACAGACGTATTAGGTACAGAGTATTACACCATCTCATACGCACCGGCCTACTACTATTGCGTGTTTGCAGTTATCTCTGGAAATGACAACACACACGTGTCCATACAGCTTCCGAACCGAGACGGAGTTCAAGTGACGTACAACAATCACGTGTATCACAAAAATGATTGGATAAACGTTACTATGAACAAATACCAAACCTTTCAAGTAAGCTCCGTTGGTGATCTAACAGGAAGTCACGTGATTTCAAGTCTTCCTGTCGGAGTCATCAGTGGTAACAAGAAAACCATAGTTGGTAACACGGGTGGGTCACGTGATCATCTAACAGAAATGTTGATGCCAGTACAGTCATGGGGCAAAAATTTTGCAACGGTACCCATCCCAGCGAGATCGGTTGGTGATGAGTTTCGATTTGTGGCAAGCAAAGACAACACAAAAGTATCGGTGAAAGGTAAAATTAACGGAACACTCTTCACTGACAACTTTACCATTCCTCATGCCGGAGACTTTGTGCAAAAAGTCTATAGTTCCTTCCTGTACTCCCATGTAGTGGCCAGTGAACCAATCGCCTTATTTCAGTTTTCCAGAACCCAGGCCTACCATCATGAAGATATCGACCCCTCAATGATCACGGTGCCTCCCATTGAGCAGTACGGCACAGATTATACATTTACAACTCCGGAGTATTCAAAAGGCCAATACCTAAATCAGTTTATGTTTATAATCGACAGTCATCAAAAGGGTGGCCTTCTTCTAGATGGAAAACCACTGCCAAACCATCAGAAGTACGTGCATATACCCGGCGCGCACCTTGTAGGAGGGTACGTTAATATAACGGTAGGAACCCACACCGTCACACACACAAGCCCCAACGTCACAATAGGAGGAATCCTATTTGGCAGAGCTCATGTGGAATCGTACGGATTTCCAATAGGATTCCTAGTCAATCCCATCAATCCTGTTCATGTGAGTTGTTTCTGATCAATTTGCTCTAAACAGAAGGCGTCCTGCACTGTAAATTCAAGCGTTGTTGAATCAGTCACCTTTAAATATATCTTTTTTATCCATTTATACTTTGATTACCTTATTTCAAGCCTGTTTCAAAAGTTGATTTTATCGTTGACTGCAAGATTGTAATATAGTTGTGCTTGTTCAAAGATTGTTTTAGAACTTGACCGACATTTAAGTATTTGAGAAGATCAAAATCACTGTGCCATTATACAACAAATCACAAAAATTCTCTTAAATTTAATGCAAAGATTCTCTGTTATGGAAAGTAGTACAATATTCAGTCATCCTTGGACTTTCAGTAGGCGTGGTATTTTCGGCTACGTAATTAGCGTTTTTCAAATGGCGACATAGATTATCATTGGTTAAAAAAATCAATAACATCTGACAGGAACTTTAGACTCTTGTTGACAATCATGAGATAACTTAAGCCCCACCTCTTTGCCGCACGAAACGCTGTCATTGGATCACTGCTACACTCGATGACATTCGCTCGAATTTCCTTTCCATGTATATTTCAACAGTGAATGAAAGAAAGGCTGTGTAAATTCCAGAAGCTATTTGATGTCGAGAATCCAACGCCTTACTGAAAACCTAAGATGACTGAGAATTGTACTTTATTAAAAGATAGATATTTTTGCATAGTTGTAAACTGTTGTAATATTTGAAATTTCCAATTTATGTTATGATTTGTGTAATTTTATTTTGTTTAATTTCTCAGCATCCTCAAGTCACGAGCTCACCGTCTGCTCCGACCACAAGTGAAGCCCCAGTATGTGACGCACCACCGATGAAGAAAGGCGATGAAATAGACAACGATTGCGACGGGAGATTGGACGAAGAGGATTGCGACGGACAAGGTAACGACTGGCGTCAGTTTGTTTAAATGTTTTGCATAATGAGTTGATTTTCCGTTTGTTTGTTTAACGTTTCTTCGAGAATATTTCACTCATACAAAGGCGCCACTATTCAATAATTCGCTGGTGGAGAGATGGTAATTTAAGACTTGTACTCGATATTAAGGACTATTGATCGGTAGAGAAGAATATTTTTTGTGCCATACTACAACACATGCAGGGCCTTGGTTTTACGGTCCCATCCGAAAGACTGGTCTTCAAAGCCAATACGAAGTTTTAAAGACCCCCTCTGTATACAATAATCAACCAAAGCATTTAGTTATTCTACCTTTTACTCATATCTGTGGTTCATAGTAGCTTGAATTTCTTTACATATGAGAGTTGTTATAAAAAATTTTTTTAGAATGTTCATTTTGATTTCCCTTTCTCTCGAAATTTCTAATCATCGTTACTATTATGTTCATTCGTTCGTTCTAAAGATCTACTAGTTTTGCGGGATTTACACGTTTTTTTATCGCAATATACATATGGATCTTTAATGTTATTTGTGGTGATGTGCTAATGACGTCATAACGATTCTAGACTTTTCTGTGTTTGCTGCATTCAGTCTAGAGAGGTCTTCATGTGAACAGTTAGTATTTATTTCTGATTTTTGGATTTACAGATAACGATGGAGACGGAAGGATAGACGAAGACTGTAGCGGTACTGAACTAAGTAAGTAGAATTGGTATTCTGAAGCTAAATTAGTTAATATGCTAACTTCACACAAATTGTACTTATTTATTTTTTGTTAAATTTAAAAATATTTTTTCCTCTTTTTCAGCAGTTATTGGAAGGAAGTAAAACTGAACAACTAATAGTACCAATTCAGTGGATTTTTTGTATTATTTATGAACTCAAACTTTTAAAGGAAAAATTTTGGGAAATTTATTCTGTTTTGTTTTCAATTTTGATTATGATTTTTACTATTAGAATGTGGAATATTTACTCATTTTAGTGTAATACTACTAAAAATTAAGCTTTGAAATTTACATATTCAAAGCTGCACATATAGGGTTTCGGTTATACATGTATATCACAGGGAGTTTCAACTTCGAAGGAGGGGACTGTCGCATGAGAAAAGTATGCATGTAAAGATTCTGCCTAGCCAAACAATATGCGCATGGGTTGTGAGAATGTATTAGCTTCCAATTTTGTACAAAAGTCCCATCTGAAAGCGTTGTGGATTTTGCTAACACCTCTGGGCAGTTCAGCAGACTAGGGAAACAATCGACGTCTGACTTTTACAATTTAAACAGAGACCAACTCCAATTACTTAAATGTAAAAGTCAGCTGTCGAATGTAAAAGTAAGTCTCTTCATAAAACTCCTAATACATGTATAGTATTTATACAACCACATTGGCGGAGGTGGGCAAATGACAGTGAGTTCCATCAGATGGTCACGGTAGCCTAGTGGTAGAGCGCTTGCTTCGTGACCGGGAGGCCCGGGTTCGATTCGTTCCCGGCGCCGCGTCAAACCTAAGACGTAAACATATAGGTAGTGACTGTTCCTTTGTCAAGAGCTCGGCACTAGAAGTGAAAGACATGGGTCTTTCGGATATGACCTTAAAAACGTAGGTCCCGTGTCACGGTAGGCGTTGGCACGATAAAGAACCCTCACTGCTCAATGGCCCTGAGTGCCGAGTATAGGTCTAAATTTGAAACCCTTCACCGGCATACGGTGACGTCTCCATATGAGTGAAAAATTCTCGAGAGGGACGTTAAACAATCAATCAATCCATCTGTTGGGGGCTTTAATATTGAAGTGTGCAGGCAAATTCAACGTTGACATCCAATCTCTTAAGACAATGTCATCTTCTTTTAAAACGCCCGAATGTATTTTCTATGGCAATCTTCACTCTGATGTACCTGTTAGTAGGTTAGATTGGCTCTATAAGTATAAGGTTTGAGAAGTCAGATATTCAAAAGACAAGCTTGATCAACGAATGTGGGTTCCATCTATCGCTACACCACAGTTTGGAAAGCCTCATTTGTTTTTCTGTAGTCTCTGATCACTTCTTTCAATTCATCTCCCTCAAAAGTTCATTCAAAGTGTATTCATTGAGATTATCAATATTAGCTTCCGAAACATCATGGAAACACTTGCACATAGTCGATTTTTCAACCCAAAGATTTCCTACAATTCTACATTCTTTGCAAGATGCAACCCAGTAAATTACAATAGCCATTTTCTTTTGAAGACCGAGTATTTTATCACCTATGATGCGTGATGGTGACACTTGTTCATGGAGCTGTTAACAGATCAAGAGGAAAATTTCCTAGTATTTTCTAAAAGAAATCTATTTTAAATTTCTGTAAGCCATCTTTTGGCAATCAGGCAGTTGATGTTTGGTTCTTCTTGACGTTTTTTTTTGTTTTACGGAAGCACCCGGCTGGTATTCCAATAAATGTTATTAAAGCACGGATACTTTCTCTGTGAGACAAAAACATTCCTCGTTGCATCCATTTAAATAAACATCATTTTGAAATTATGTTATGATATATTTACAGTGCATAATGAACGCAAAGCAATTTTTTTGCTTTTGTACACAAGAGCAAATTTGCTAATGAGTAAAACGTGTGAGTAAATTTTCGCCGTGTACTAGTATACATTGTATAATTAGACTGAATTGAAAATGACTTATTGTACATGTATTTCAATAGACGTTTGCAACTTTTACAATGTGGTAGGTGTACTTTCTACATGCGGTAGGAGTGTTGCTACAGCTTATCAAGAAATCTTCTTATTCTGCTAAAATCAAAAGTACTCCTAACATTCTAGTACTATAGATCCCCACATAATGACCCCAGGAATAAGATAGAGGTTATCTCTCATAATATTTATATAGATAACTCTTTTTCGAATGTTGAATGACAAAACCATTCTACAAGCATGGCGAACCGGATGTGGATTTTTCTCCTCTTGGTGCTCCCCTTTGTTAAAGGTGAGATACATTAAACAATTCAAAAGGAAGTAACAAGTTACTTCTATACAATGAAAGGGTGTTTGAATATTAAATAGCATGTTTCTCACTGATCCAGAATTAAAGCTGTTCAGGTGAAATCGAATTCTCTTATCTTTGAACTATGCATAAAGGGGCGTACAGACAACATTTCTCTCGAGTTAAGACAAATGATACAAACAATTTTTATACCCCAAACAAGTTGCTGGAGGAATAATGTTTTTGACCCGTCCATCAGTCCTATTTTTTTTTGTCAGAACAACTCATAAACCGCTGCGCAGAATTTCGTCAAAATTTGCAGATATTTAGGACAAAATGTGTAGATGTGCATATTACCAAGAAATTACGATTCCTTTATTTTTTCCGGGAATGTCTGCACTTTTCAACTTAGATTTTTGGCCATATCTTGAATAAAGAGATAAACAGTTTGTCAGAGCAACTCCTCATAAGCCGCTGCACAGAATTCGGTCAAACTTTGCACATATTTAGGACACAAAATGTACAAGGAAATTCCGATTCCTTTATTTTTTCCTGGGAATTTCGGTACTTTTCATCTTAGATGTTTAGTCATACCTTGAATATAGAGATGAACAGTTTGTCAGCGCAACTCCTCTTTAACCGCTACACAGAATTTCGTCAAAAAAATTGTTTTATCATCTGTCCGTAATTTTTAGTAAACATTTGGGGGGGGGGGGAGCATTTTCCTTTCATTTTCCTTTCATTTTCTTTAGAGAAGACTTAATATCATGCCACAGGTTTATAAAATTTTCATTCCCAAAAATACTAAATTGGTTTATATCATAAAGCCGGGACATACATTGCAATTGTTTTATATCCTTACTTTTTTGTAAACCTTGGGGGGAAAGCATCGATAAAATTTTCCTCCCCTGAAATATTAAATTGGTCTATATCATAAACCCGGGACATACATTACAATTGATATTTCTAAATCTTTGTAATTTAAATAATGTCAATTTGATGTTCCAAACGAGTGGAATAAAGAACACAACTTATATAATATACGCATCTTTTATCGGACACTTGTGATGGTCATATAAAATTTATTTTCCAAGGAATGTCAAACATAAGAAGGGGTGGATTAATAAACCTGATAGCATACAGCCATACCTAAATTGTCTCTTTGGTTATTGTATTTGGCGTTTGACTTAAAGCATTTTTAAAATAAAAAGTTTTTACAAAGTTGGATATTAAGATGGGTTCTTGCTTAAAGGGCCACCAAACTGGATTTGGTTGCATTTACCAGGAAAATTGATATCTTTTGTAATATTTTCCATTTTAGTTATGACTTATGGCATGTTTTGTTTATTATCTGGAGAAAGAAAAGAAATATTATGAAATTCTAATTCCAAACGTGTCAGATCTGCATTAACATATATGCATGTTCTGTAAATATTTCCAGGAGCATTGGACAGCAAGGGAAAGCAATTCATAGTTACTTTCATGGACAATCAGATTTTACAGAATACAGACATCAATCCTGAAATCTTTATTACGACATCAAGCACCAAACCAGTACACGTCAACGTGACGTCACCGGGATCAACCAATCCACGAATCAGCGAACAGTTTGTCGTCTCTCGTGGAATTGTTCACCGAGTGGTTGTAGATCAGGCCTTCCGATTGAACCAAACCGAACTAAGCACAAAAGGGATTTTGATTTCGGCGGATGAGGAAGTCGTGGCATACGGAGTAAACCGCGAAGTCTGGTCGGACGATGCCTACTTGGCACTGCCTACTGATGTCCTGGGAAAAGAATACTACACCATCTCCTACTCCCCGTCCTATTACTACTGTGAGTTTGCAGTGATCGGAGTCCATGACCACAGTCATGTTTATATCCAGTTGGCTAACCATCCCAACGTCAGTGTTACTTTCCGTAACCACGTCTATCATGGGGGCGACTGGATTAACACAACACTAAATCGCTATAGCACCCTCCAGATCACTTCTGTTGGTGACCTCACAGGTTCTCACGTCATATCAGACAAAGCTGTGGGCGTCATCAGTGGTAACAAGAAAGCTGTTGTGGCTCTTCCTGGTACCATCGCTAACTCACGTGACCATTTGACGGAAATGTTGCTTCCAGTACAAGCTTGGGGTAAAAACTTCGCTACAGTGCCTATCCCGGAGAGAAATGTGGGTGATATTTTCAGATTTGTCGCCAGCCAAGACCAAACGCATATAAGAGTAACAGGAGTCATAAATGGTACAAACTTTACGGACCATTTTAACATACGTCATGCTGGGGGGTTCAGACAGAAGAATTATAGCTCGGCACTATACGCCCATGTAGTGTCTAATAATCCAATTGCTTTGTATCAGTTTTCGGCAACACAGGATAAAGGTCACAATCATGTAGATGCTGCAGATCCCAGCATGATTACAATTCCTCCCATTGAACAATATGCTGCAGATTATACTTTTGCCACTCCCCAATACTCCAAAGGCGAATATCAGAACTATTTCATGTTTGTGATAGACTCCAGTCAGACTGCAGGTCTGATTCTAGACGGGAAACCCCTGCCACAAAATCAAACGTACGTTCACATTCCCGGCACCAATCTAGCGGCGGGATACGTGAAAATATCCGTTGGCACCCATACCGTCACGCACAACAACCCGAACACGGTTATTGGTGGGCTCGTGTTCGGAAAAGCCAAAATCGAGTCCTATGGATTTCCAATCGGCCTGCTTACACAACCTGTTAATTCTGTGAGTTTATTCCAAAAAATCATGTTTAATCACTGTAAAAATAGTGACAAAACGTATTTTATATAAGCATTAGCCAATGTTTATTCAAGTACATGAAGTTCAAAGATATAGAGGCAAGAATGTTAATTTTATAATTTATCCTTTCCTTAAGTTTGAAACCCAAGTAAAGTTATAGATCAGCTTCATATCTATGGCAATAATGATAACAATTCTCAAGATAAGTATTATTGTCACATTACATGTACATGTTTCAAGAATACACGACTGTACGTTTTATTTTTTTGAAGGGATGCAACGCGAAGGCGATGTCTCCGGGCGATGAAATCGATAACGATTGTGACGGCGAGGTAGATGAAGAGGACTGCAATGGAAAAGGTAAATCGAGATCAACAGTGTATCATTATTAATAAGTATCTGAAACATTACTTTCAGTACATTGTTTCGGTGTAATATTATTGAGCATTTTATTTTGTTTTATTTTGTTTAAGACGATGATGCCGATGGAAGGATAGACGAAGATTGCAGTGGAGCGCCACTGAGTGAGTAGTCTTTGCTTCCCTTTTTCGATTTATTATCAATTGTAGAATATCTATCCTTGCCTCTTTATTACTATTTTTCATGTTTAAGAGTGGAATTTTTTTTCTTTTCAGTTGTTATTGGAAGGAAGTGAAGTTTTTATATCAATAAAACAAATACTAGTACACTAAACTTTTTTCTAGTTTTAGTCTTAATAGTTGTGGTATACCGATTGTGTAAATAAAATGGATTATTGATTTTTTTTAAATCTTTTTCTCCTTGCTCAATGGCCCTGAGTGCCGAGTATAGGACAAAATTTGCAGCTCTCCACCGGCAAGTGGTGACGTCTCCATATGAGTGAAAAATTATCGAGAAGGACGTCAAACAATAAACAATCAATCAATCTTTTTCTCAACGCAAGAGGTAAATATTATAAGGAAAAATTATAAGTTTTGCAGTCTTCTTTTCAGTGTGATTTAAAAACTGAGCATGAATTACTGAGATACACCTTGGTTATTTTTTTGGGGGGGGAGGGTTCTAACTCAACAAAGATAACGCCATGAATACTTGATCAATACAAAGGGTTCATAGCGGGTGTGACATCAAGGTTATATGCATGTTTAAATTCAGAAAACAATTACAAACATGTCTATGTCATCTAATTTCATCCAAGAAACGTGATGCTGAAGATCCTATGAAATGGACTGAAGTAAAAATCATCAATGCTGAAGAATAAGCAGACTTTTAAACAGGAAGAAGGAAGAAGTAAATGTTTAATCAACTATTATATAATCTACAAATCATCTTCGAGAGATGCATCCAGCACCAGCAAACCCTTTATCATGTGTTCATTGATTTGAAGAAAACCTTCGACAAAGTGTGACTGCTTCATGGACCATCATGAAGAAATGTAACAGCAATGCCAACCTAGTCTGAGCAGTCGAAGAGCTATATATTAGGGAGAAGTGCAGTTCTCTGGAAAAACAGCATTCCTGACTGGTTCCACACAACAGTAGGAGTATGCCAGGGTTGCCTGGTTCCTCCAACCCTTTTTGATATCTTTCTTGATAAAAATATGGAAGATGCTCTCCATGATCACAAAGGCACAGTCTCTATCGGAAAAGATTCGATTCGCTGATGACATACTAGTAGATGGCCTCGCAGTGTAGGAGGATGAGCTGAATTGCTTGGTAAAACGCTTTAACCAAGTGGCCTCTGCTTATGGCAAAGGTTCAGTGCAGAAAAAAAAACAAAGCCGATGACCAACAACATCCAGGGAATCACCTCAAAAATCATGGTGCGTGCAACATATGTCTGGAAACAATGAAAACATTAAAGTACTCGATTTCATCATATCAGATGAAGGTAACTATTCTAAACCAGGAGTTATGTTAAGGATTGCACAAATAACTGCGGTATTAGCTAGCAAAACTACAAACATCTGGAGAGACAGGAATATTACTCTGCGTTTGAAGTCCAACTAACGAATGTGCTCCCTTGCTATACTGGTCTTTCTATGTGCAAGAGAAACCTGTATAATTATTGCAAAGCTAGAAAAGAGGATTATGAGAACCAGATTAAGATGCTAAAGGAAGATGCTGAGTATCCCTTGCACAGACCATGTGGCCAACGAAGATGACCGCAGGAAAGTCTCTGAATACCGGTAGGACTGTAGGATCCCACGATGGCCACCTAACTGTGGTTAAGTACGAACACACTTACCGCTTAAAAGGTCTTTCAAAGACAGCTTTGTAAGGGACAGATGAAGGGGGCGGAGACGAGGAAGAAGGAAAAAGAGGCAGGATTGAGACTCTGAGAATTACCGGTAACTTTTAGATGAAAATTCCCTTCTATAAAATTAAGAAAGTCGGTCTAGTTTATTTTTTACACATTTTATTTACATCAATAACAAAAATCTACACGGTTCCATTGCAAGATCTCCATGAAAACACAGAATGGACCTATTGTCCAAAATGACGTCGTTTGTGCTAGAATATCAACAAGAAAAAATTAATATAAGATCTCAATAGGAACTAAATCATACGACAATACTTGGAAAACAATTGGATCTTTAAATATGACTGTATTCTTATTTTACGAATAAAACATATAAGAGCCAACAGAAACATCTAATAAAAAGAATTTTGTGAAAAACCACAACCACATAGATGTATTAACAATCTACAGACTCATGATACTGTGGCAACCTAAGAACATCAAAAATGCTGATTAAAAAGACATGTTATTCATATATTATGCCAAATAAGTAAGTCGCCAGTAAACTTAAAATAAAAATTATCTTAACATAAAACTTCCCTAGTTATCTCAAGGAAGTATCCTGTTGTAACTTTTGAATTTACTTCTGAGAATGTATTGTAAATTTTGCATTTAATATCTCCTAGTAAATTTAAAACCTTTTAAGAAAAATAGTCTGTATTATTGAGTGTAATTATAGAAATCTAAATTAAATTTCTATAATTAAACTGAACAATACAAACCCCTTTACTGAAAAGGTTTTCAAAATTATACATAAGTTGATTCTTTTTGACAATTTTTGAGTTGTAATAATGTTGTTACAATCTTTTTTCTTTCATTGTCAAAAACGCAACCATATAAATAAATAAATGAAGAAAATATTTGTGTAACAAGTAATTTTATCATCTGCATACTAATGATCATTATCTTGGAGATAGCCTATTTTGAATTCCAGGGACACTTGCAACCTTTATCTGTACTATTACCTAAAATTATGGCGCACAAGTTGTGGATTTTTGCCCTCGTGGTGCTTCCATTTGTTTATGGTGAGCTCTTTTAAAATATGCTTTGCAAAACTCAAAAGAGAAAATCCAATTAATAAATACTGAATTAATTAATACTGTCACGTTGATAAGGGTGCGTATCATTACCGCTATATTTTCAAAATTTTCATTACCGCTACATTGTCATTACCGCTACAAAATAACTTACATTACCGCTACATTGCCTCTTTCGTTAGCCAGCCACTTATGCGTGTACAGTACAACCTATATATGCATAAGACCCGTTTCCCCTGCTCACCACAGGTAGGTGAACGTAGGACTTTGAATAGGATGTTTTTTAAGTTTTGTCAAATGTTTTTACACAATCAGTAAAGCCTTGAAAGCCATTTACTTTACATACTGTTTCCTTGTCATTTCCCCACTGTCGTATATAGCTTTTAGTTCCCTTTTTTGCGCTGTGTTGTTATTCTCTTTTCGTCCTGGGAGAATCCTGTTTCTTGCAGCATGCATTTTCAAGTAACTTTTTGTCTGGACAGACTGAATCTTGGCCAAAAAAAATAAAAAATGCTCGGATGTGAACTATAAAACATTGTGCCAAACTCTTTGTGAAAACTTTCACACTCAACATCCGCATCTGCCCAAATTGTAGGTGGAAATGACGATGACCGTTCAATGTGCTTCGGAAAACACATCAAACTCGAAGCACTCTTCAACTTCTCGAAGACTGAAAAAAAAAAAAACCAAACCGAAGAAAACTTTCAACCACTGTCCAAATTCTGTTGATTAGAACTCATATACATGTACCGAACCAAACCTGGCTAAGTCGATATGTAGCGGTAATGAGTTGCTTTTGGCTGATTCAATATGTAGCGGTAATGAGTTGTTTTTTGCCGAAAATGTAGCGGTGATGATCGGTCGAAAATCTGAAAAAATGTAGCGGTAATGAGTTGAAATTTTTGGCAATGTAGCGGTAATGTTGACCTCCCGTTGATAATTGGGGTGTACTTGAACTTGTTTGATCTTAGGGGAATACTCGCTTGGGGAAATGTTTTACATGCAAAGAATAAAGAAATAATATACTTTTAATTACTGATGTTTATTATTTGAAATCGTCGATGAAAGTGTATAAATAATTTTATAAACGAACTGTCACCGGTTACCAATATAATTCAAAATATTACAAAAATACGTTTTTAAAGTTAACTCTGGTGACTGTACAGAGGGTTAAACGATTTGGGAAAAATCCCTCTGCGAAATGAAAATCTAAAACAACATAAAAAATAAATCAATAAAAACTACAAGTCAGCGGAATTCGAAATAGTCATAACACCAAATTTTCTATATTAATAGAAATTTGTGGGAAGACAATACGAAGAAAAAAGTGTTGTTTCAAATAAAATTGTAAATCTTATGCATGAGTACCGGTTTATATTAATGCTTATTGCAAGTTAATAATCATTTTAAACAATATTCATTTGAAATAAAACTTAAGCCAAACAAGATTTTTCATACGTCATGGAAGCGAGCACAAGATATATGTATTTTTTTAAAAATTAAATTTGTTTTCAAGTTAATTGCATTTTGGGGCCAAACTATGTTCCTTCAACTTAAGGGCTTAAGGCAAAAGTTCAGTTTTTTTTTTGGTTCGACAAAACGGTGTTCATCTCGAATTAAGTAAAAAATTATATATGATATACTAGTATCCTGAACATTAAAAACTCAATTAGAAAACAGATGTTAAGGTGTTTATGCAACCAGCTTTGATTTTATGACTTTAGGAGCACTGGACAGTAAAGGAAAACACTTTATTATAACCTTCATGGATAACAAGATTCTACAACACACCGACATCAAACCCGAGATCTTCATTACCACGTCCAGCAACAAACCCGTACACGTCAATGTGACGTCACCAAAATCTCACCATCCACGTATTAACCAGCATTTTGTTATAACTCACGGAGTAGTGCACCGTGTTGCCGTGGATCAAGACTTCCGGTTAAATCACACCGAGCTAAGCACCAAAGGGATTTCGATCTCGGCTGATGAAGAAATCGTGGTGTATGGAGTAAACAGAGAGGTCTACTCGGACGATGCCTACCTGGCACTGCCTACTGATGTGCTGGGAAAAGAATACTACACCATCTCCTACTCCCCGTCCTATTACTACTGTGTATTTGCAGTGATCGGAGTCCACGACCACACTCGGGTGCACATCAAGCTTGCTAACCATCCAAACATTAGCGTTAATTTCCATGGTCACGTGTACCACAGAAACCAATGGATAAACGTTACCCTAAACCGCTTCAGTACCTTTGAAATCTCTTCTGTCGGGGACCTCACTGGTTCTCATATCATCGCGAACAAACCTGTGGGTGTCATCAGCGGAAACAAGAAAGCTGTTGTATCTGTGGCTGGTAACACTGGCAATTCACGTGATCATTTGACGGAAATGTTGCTTCCTGTCCAGGCCTGGGGTAAAAACTTTGCTACAGTGCCAATCCCTGAAAGAGACGTGGGTGATGTTTTCAGATTTGTTGCCAGCCAAGGACACACCAGTGTCAGGGTAACTGGAGTCATCGATAGTAAAAATTTCACGGATCATTTTAATATTAATCACGCTGGGCAGTATGTGCAGAGGAATTACAGCTCTAAGTTGTACGCTCATGTGACATCTAACCACCCTATTGCTTTGTATCAGCTCTCGGCAACACAGGCAAAACATACAAATCTGCCTTCCGATGCAGCAGATCCATGCCTGATCACCATTCCTCCAATCGAACAGTATGCTGCCGACTACACGTTTACTACACCTCAATACTCCAAAGGCCAGTATCTTAACTATTTCATGTTTGTGGTTGATTCCAGCCAGACGGCGGGCCTAATTTTAGATGGAAAACCCCTTCCACAAAATCAAACGTACGTCCACATCCCTGGCACCAACCTAGCGGCGGGATATGTGAAAATATCTGTTGGAACCCACACCGTCACGCACAACAACCCGAACACGGTCATTGGTGGAATCGTGTTCGGTAAAGCTAACCTCGAGTCTTATGGATTCCCTATTGGTCTGCTAACAAAACCTGTTAATTCTGTGAGTGATATCTAGAATAATAGCTTAAATATATAGAATAATTTATACAAACATAGTTTGATCATTTGTTGTTCAAGTAGTTAAAATAAATAGGTATTTTATAATGGAAATTTATTATAACAACCTTGAAATTGAAAAAAGTTTTTGTTATTATTTTTTTTTAATACTGACAGCTGTTTTATAGTGCGTACGGGTAAATGAAGACAGATGTAGAATTTCGCATGGAAGATTGTTAGTCGACCATATTCAGTGGACGTTTTATATGATTAAAGATCAGAGTTCCATTGCCAGAGATTTTTTTGTTTGGAAAATGCCAATAAGGATTTCCGAACTATTTTTGAAGCAATATCATTGTATCATGTACATATTTTAATTGAAGAAAACAAAGTTTTTGTAGGGGACATATTATCACAATGAAAATTTTACAGTTAAAAAAATTTTTAGTTTCTAAATTAAAAGTTTTATGTTTTAAGAACAACTCTTTCTAAATTTTTCAGCTTCTTTTGTAATTTTTAGGGTTGCCAAGCGGAGGCGATGTCCCCGGGCGATGAAATCGATAACGATTGTGACGGTGAGGTAGATGAGGAGGACTGTGATGGAAAAGGTAAACTGAAATTAACAGCGTACTAATGTTAATAAGTAACAGGGTAGATTTCCTCAATACGAAAACATGATCATACAATGATAAATTTGATTTTGTTTCAGACAATGATGCTGATGGGAGAATAGACGAGGACTGCAGTGGAGCGCCACTGAGTGAGTAGTGTCCATTTCACTTGAGTCTTCACTGATCGACTCGTTGGTTTTGGGAAGAAAAAGATATATTTGATCATATTGCATTGTCATTCTAATGAAATAATTCTCATTTTCTTTTCTTTTCAGCTGTTATTGGAAGAAAATAATTTTACATTTATATATCAATAATATTAAAGATTTTTAAACCCGTGGGTGTAAGTCCAGAAAAGTTAATGAATTGGTGTATCCGTCTGACTTAGGCAGCAACCCCCCAACACCCCCACCCCAAACGAACCTCCCTCTTGAGTTTTATTCCGTTTTCGGTAACAAGTACCGTTATATAGTGATTGTTGAACAGCAATTACTTTTAAAAAAAAGATTTTTTGTAAAATTCTTTTATATTGTATTCTTTTCTCCTCCCGTAGCCTCATACACTTGTAGACTGATTTTAATTAATTCTGTAAACAAAAGTACAAAAATCGATTTGTTGGTATAGATCTTATCACAAATATGTCAATGAAAGATTATTTATGAGAAAAAAGTTGAAAAAGCCCAGGGGTCTATATAGAAGGGGGGTTCCTGTCCTCAAGCACTTGTAGTATTTCTATATTTAAAAAAAAGTTTCTAGGGAAGTAAAAGGGGGGAGGTGTAAAAAAAGGTCACATGATCATTACTGAGTGGGGGATACTGGTATAGTATATGATGACAATTTATTGAGGACCCCCTTTACCTTTCTAAAAGCCTGTAATTAGCCATGACATTGATTTCAAATAAGACACAAAAATTTCAAAATTCACATATACAGGTACATTCCATTGCGAAAAAAAAAGGTATAAAAGAAATCACAGATATATGCACTCTCAAGACTTTTTTTTACCTTACACAAAAGTTGCTGTGATTTTAAAGAAGTATAGCATGTGCATGCATCACCATGTTTATCAAAAATTGTTTTCAATATTCTACTAAAAGTTTGACCCTTTGTTTGTGAAATCCTCTCTTTAAGAATGGGTTTCCCTGAAGATTTTTAGATAAGTTAAATAAATTGTGCTATAATTCTGTTGTTCACAGTTATAGAATAATGATCACAAATGGAGACAAGTCGTCTGTCACAGTTGTACGTCCATTCATATTTATATCATATATTTTTTTATTATTCTTTTCTTCAATTTCAGAGAACATTAAATTATTTTAGTTAACCACCAAAATGGGACACTCGGGTTCAAGCAATGTTTTACAAAGGGGGATCTATAACTAGCTAGCTTAATACACGTTAACTAAAATTAAAGTGTATCTTCCTGGCGTTGTCATCTTCAATGAGCAAAGGGATTTTTTTTTTTAAATACGATCAACTGAAAAGATTTAACAGGTATGACAGGCAGACACTCACAGCTGGGTATACGAAACAAAATAAATCTGACAAATGTGGTCAGAAAGGGTCCTCTTTTGACAAAAACAAGAAATGCCACTCTTGTCAGTCTTATTTAGGACTTTTGTAGTTATCTCCCGTTGACTATTTCTACATACGATATCGTAACAGTGTCAGTAAACATCCGTAAAAACCCTAACAAAGATACTATATTGTTAACTATGGTCTACTATAAGTAACTAAACAGTGATTATTAAATGGGTTTATTTATTTATTTTTTCCTGTTGCATATTTAATACAATTGTTTTTCTGAAATAGTAAAATCAAAAAACTTTTTAGATATGGCATAAAATATTTAAGCAATTTTTGGGGTGTTTTGTTGTTGTTGTTGTTGTTGTTTTTTTTCATTTCATTAAGTTCTTAATGTAAATATTTTTTTTTATTAAATAATGTATAATACGATAAAAAAAAATAATGTCTTTTATTTATTTTGAGTAAGAAATTAAATTAAAATTTTGAAAAATTGAAGAAAAAAATGTTAGAAAGTAAGAATAAAATTTAAGTCACAAAGTGCAAAAAGTAATTGCAAAAATACCAATCCCATATTTTTTTAAAATGTGAATGCAATAATTGAATTTTATTTCGTTAAGTGTATGTAAGATTACGAAATTTTGGAAGGGGAGGGGCTAGAATTTTGTTTAGATGTCATGTCTGTCAACAAGTAGACCCTGGGGCGTACAAAGGGGAAGAGAAGTCTTAGAAAATCGTCGATCGCTACCAAACGAAAAAATTTAATTAATTTTTCCACTATGTTAAAATAAACAAAAACAAAAAACAAAAAAAAACGAATGGCACAAAAAGGTACTTGATCCCCATACCATGTGTGAGATGTGTGTTATCGATATATTACTTGTACCTTTTAAAAAAATATTTGTGTTTCTCGATTAATTGTACTCAAAATATTTCAGTAAACATTTGTATATGTTCACTTCATATATACCGAACTGGTACTGAATTCTGTCTATGGTATAATTTTGCTTAAAATATAAATAACATTTTGTGGAAAAGGTCACCTTATTGTTTAAGTTCCCCGCAGGAGCCCCACGACTTGTAATTCGGTGGCCCTCTCTATAGATGGCCGACCAGTGAACCGTAACGTCGACGAACAGGCACGAAACTTTTACAGGTTTTACTTCGGAACACACTTTCGGACAAGGGGAAACATAAACCAAGGAGTTTTGACACATAAAAAGGTAAGTATTGAACAAAATAATTATCCAAGAAAGTAAGATTTCTTAAATTTGAAAAGTTGTCAAAGCCCCTTTAACACAATTCATAGCCCGCTGATAAGGACTCGATGTTATCCAGACTGCATTTGTTCATTAAGACGACGCGATTTCTCTCGCGATCCTTAATAATGTAGACAAAAACATTTACACCGTCGGTCTTAGATTTCATGAAGACTCATAGAGTGTCCGTTTGTCTTATAACTGTTAGTCTAAAACGGGTCGTGTAGAACTTGTGTATATGACTTCCCTGTGCTCAAAACTGTTTTCACAATATTTTTTCTAAGACATGCAGACATACTTTATCCACCATATTTTATATATTTTGGGTTATTGTTTAGCAGTTATCTTACAGACTAATTGTGTATCCTTTGGATATGTTGAAACTCATTAAAGTTAATTATGTTGCTCGTTTGCACATCGCTAATTAATTAATTAATACTAAAAGTAATGTTCATGCATATATGTATTCTCATATTTTCTATGGCATATGTTGTCAAAATGTAAGAATTTTTAAAATGTATTTTCCATGAATTTTTCGTACAATTAACAAATCTGTGGACATTGATATTGAATTCATATCCACCTGTTGAGTCTAGTCTGGTAGCCATACAAGAATTATCTGCCCTTGGACCACTGTGAAAAAAAAAGTCGAAACCTTTTGAAAATGTTCTGTTGGCATGTTTTAAATTCTGGTCACAATAAAACGCAGTTTGTTTTGATATGGTAAGCTGATATTGTTTAGTAAACACGTCGAGGCCATACGGCTTCCCCTCAAAAAAATATAATGAGAGATTGCAGCTCATTACGCCTAAACAAAATTAAACCCACGGCCTTAAATGACTGAACAAAGCCACACTTAACTTAGTTTATTTTGTTGTATTTTCAATTGCTCATTAAGGAGTTAGACATTGAAATCACAGCTCAAGTATACTTCTAATTCTATTTATGTAAAAGTGGCGTAATGTAAACTTGGTTTTTCTATATGGCGTATTCACTTTCCTCTTGTCAATAACAAGGCCTTTGTGCTATGCTTTCTTTGGTATTTCATCAAATAGTATTCGTATCAATTTATTAAAAAAATGTTCTTTGAATTGTAAGGGACACTTTAAAAAATATATTGAAAAAATATTTAAATTGATATTTTATTTGAAAGTATTAGTCATCAAACTTTGATAACTGAAGCACTTCCAAAGAATTTTGTGATTAAGAAAAGAAAGTTTTAATTTATTATTAATGTTAATTTGGTATTTTATTGGATGGTTTAATATTGGGACGTCAAATACATGTAATTTTGTATGTCAGGTGTGACAGTTTTATGAATTCTGTCTCAGATCTCCAGATATGTACATGATATGATGAAAGCACATGAAGAAAACAGTATGCCAAATATTAAATTTAAAGTATAGAAAGAATAATTTATTAATATGAAAGTCTTTTTCTGTAAATAGTAAGTTATAAGAACGTCACAAATTCCGTGTGTCACATGTGACATTTTTATGATTTTTCAAATAAAGCTTGTATATAGGTAATTGTCAAAACACGGCTTACATTTGGCAGATATTCACTTCACCAAAAAGACCAATGCAAGTGACATTTGTAAAGGCATTAATTTGGTGTGATTTTTCTCCCGTGGTGAGCCTCGGTCCTTTTTACACATAAGTCTGTAGTTGACTTGCCTCAGGTGAAATTGTCAATGTATATACAGATTATATCGTTTATTTTTATACCTATATGCTTGGCTTCGTTTGTTCAGCTATCAAGCACTGTAATAAAAGATAGAAGAAGATTGATGTGATATGCATACGATATAGGAGAAGATAAAAAATCATTTTAAGGTCTAATATATAACCCAATCAACAAGTTTTATTTTCTTGGTTTTAATTTATATATATTTTTAAAGAATTTAGCCAATTTTAATAAAAATCTTATTTTATTTTAAAAAGTTTCATCAGAAGTAAGATGTAAGGGACGCAGTATTATTTTCTAAAGGGGGGGGACAAAATTGGGGGAAAGAAAAAGAAAACAAAAACCTATAACACCATTATGCAAAGAGCATGCGTGTCTTAAAATCAAGACAGTAATTGACATAAATCCCGATGCCAATTACGTTATTTCCGTTTCGCACAGAGCAAACAAACAGAGACAAACACACCATCACACAAACAAACACAGACAAACACACCATCAACTTCGTGGGGGGGGGGGGGGGTAAGTTCCAGCTTTCTTTATGACTGCATACATTATTACCAAACAGCTACAATAATTATCTTAGAAGGGGGTGAGCAACCAGCCATTCAATGACCATTACTTAAAGCATTTTCAAATGTACAAGGTTGGGTTTGTAAAGAAAAGTGTGGGGATAATATGAAACTGATATATCAATGTAGATACATTGACTTTTTGTTAAGGGGACTTTGGGGAAATCTTGGATGACTAGTACATTGTTGATAATTTCTGAGAATTTTGACTTTCGAATCTGGCTAAATGAGTGAATGTGTATCCATTATAAACAACATCTTTACTCGTTCAATACTGTTTTGCAAAGTAGGTTTTATTTAGTTAATCATAGCATTTTCTTTTATTTACAGAATGTCTGAACTACTGGGACACGTCCCAAACTTTCGGAAGCTTCGCGGAAAGCCGAATGATGATGGTCTGGACCGTATGAGTCATGTGGTCACAGTCGTGCTTCTCATCATTTTCACGGTTGCCATTAGCTCAGGTCAGTTCTTCAAAGACCCGATAGTATGTTGGAATCCTGCAGAATTCAAAGACCATATGGAGTCTTATACAAAATGGAACTGTTGGGTGAAAAACACCTACTACGTTCCCTTGACAGAGGAAATTCCGGTCAACATCGACCAACGCCAGTCCGCAGAACTGACCTATTACCAATGGGTGCCGATTATTTTACTTTTCATGGCGTTTTTATTCAAACTTCCTAATATGGTCTGGAGAATTTTCAATGGCGGATCAGGCTTGAACATGGATAAATGCGTTTACTTCGCAGAAAAAGCACAGTACGACAGTCCGGATGACAGACAAAAAGATTTGTATGCCCTCGCAAGATTCATGGACAAATGGCTGGATACCAACAAAGAGTACAAATGGAACGTTTTTGTCCGCACCAAGCACCAGGCTTCTCGATTCATCTGTTTCTTCTGCAACAAACGCGCCGGAAGATACCTCACCGCCATGTATCTGTTTGTGAAAGTCTTGTACGTCGTGAACGCCATCGGACAACTGTTTTTACTGAACGCATTCCTCGCCACTTCATACAACTTTTACGGATTCGAATTCATGGAGAACATGGGACAGAGTGGTCCTTGGAGGGAGAGCCCAAGGTTCCCTCGCGTCACACTCTGTGACATTCGCATCCGTCAACTTCAGAACTTGCAGCGCTTCACAGTACAGTGCGTTCTGCCTATAAACCTCTTCAACGAGAAAATCTTCATTTTTATTTGGTTCTGGTTAGTTTTCGTTGCATGCATTGCCACCTTTAACCTTTTCAACTGGATCTACCTTATTATGTTCACCAGGAATAAGGTAGCCTATATTAAGAAGTTCTTGAAGATAAACAACGAACTTCATACAAACTTTGACAAGAAATTGGCGGCCAAATTCGCCGAGAGCTATCTTCGCGATGATGGCGTTTTCCTTCTTCGCATCATTGCTAGGAATACCACCGATCTTGTTGTCACGGATCTCGTCAAGGAATTGTGGGATATCTTCAAAGACAAACAAAACACAAAGAAGAACAGAGAACTTGAACCAGAAAGCAGTATGCTTGATGAGGCTAAAGAACCACTCACGTGATGACGAGAAGACTAGAGTTTCTTCCCAAGCAATTCATGTGATGCCTCGATTATCGAGACTTCTAGCCTTTCGAGTTTTCCCATTTTTTAGCCGTTTTATGTCAGAATTTTAGTTATAGCCTTAGGCCAGTCTTTTAGTCACCTGTCAGACTTGGTGCTTTTTCACGTTCCATATATTACATACAGTCAATTTGTTTTTGAAAAACGTCTATATCTATGATGATTTTATGTACAGTGTTAAACAACGAAACAACACAAAGCATTACAAAATCTAGTCTCATTAAAGACTATTATCTGGGTAATGGTATTTGACAGTGTATAGTAACTGGCACAGCTTAAAGCTAACGCATATTTAACTACTAACAGTCGGAGTGAGAGCTCGAAAGTTGCCTGTATCTGGGTTGTGAGATTCAGCAGACTTTTTATATAGTTTTTTTTTTTTGACATTCAGCCTTCAGTTTCTGAAAGGTTCAACAACGAATCCCTTGTCTTCCTATGTATAGAAAATGCTATAATATCTTTGTATACAACGCTGTAGCTACGTAGTTTTGTAAATATTTTAATAAATCTACCAACTATCGTCAGATATTTTATGTAGGATGAAATGATTTTATGTTTTTGTAAACGGATAAGAATTTTTTCAAATGTAACCACATCCCCATTTTTTCTTTTTTTTCTGTATTAAAATGTGATCTCGTTTTCATGACTGTTAATGTTCGGCATTTTATTATTTTTGTCATTTGTTCATCTTGTCTTCATGACACAAGCTTGCATTTGATTTTGAAAGTCATCCATGTCGTTGAGATGTTTTAATTCTTGTTGAAGCTGTTTTTATTAGAGAGGCATTCCTTTTAATGAAAATCAAGGTTTGTGCTTATTTTTGTATTACAGAATAAAAAAAATACTTTGTTCAGCGATGCGAATAAATAATAATAAAAAAGTAAACTAATTGTTTTGTTTATGTTTATGAAATGGTCTGTCGTGATAAGAAATTTTATGGTTGAATTACCCGATTATTTAAGAAAAATGAGCATTACATCTACGTTTCAACTTCTTTTATTTTCTTTAACTTTATCAGTGGAGAGAAGATTTGTTAAGTCACTTATATGATTCAGAAAAGATCATATTTCCTACAGGCAAAAAGTATAAAATCACACTCTTAGTATTTCACCTGTAAAAACATATACATCCAAAAATGCACTCGAGGCTTTAATAGAAATTCCGTAGGACCATACGTAATACGCATTTGTTAATTAATGTATATTTCTTTTTAATTGGATACGAGCATTTGTCAAGCTCGCTGTGGGTGTATTATTGCCCGACTGGGACATTCACGCGAGAGGTCGGGCCACCTAGTCCAACGAAGTTCCCAGCTCTAGATGAGGGTCACTGAACCAACCCCCAAATTACACCTAATCAGTGGAAATAATTAATTTGAGTGTCTCTAAAACGAAATACAATTTGGAATACCCAAGTAGGATAGAGGAAGCAAACAGCCTCAGAGATGGGAGAAGGGTAAGCGTTTTCTTGTCTGCGTTTATTTTTGTTTACTTTTTTCACCTGAACAAAGGGATATAAAATTGGTGAAATTATGTGAAAAAAGTATACATGTATTTATGAAATTTGTTTAAATTAAATATATATAAGAAATAGAAATATACGACAATATGACTGTATATAATTTGTTGTGGAAAATCTTTGGAAATTTTTGTTGATTGTCCAGCCTGTTTCCGCTATGGCCTACAGCGATTGCGTTTATAGTCATTTGATGGATGTGATGGCCCTTGTGTTAGTGGCTTCTCTCTCTCTCTCTCCGTATACAAGAAGTCAGTTTAATTGGTTTTGTTTGAGAAAATTATTAATTCAGTGAATTGAATCCCTTAACTGTCATCATTGCAAGTCTTTCACCCCTTTTCCTCAATATTGCTTTTTTCCAACCGTATGAATTATGTCACTTTTAAAACTATCTAGAGGTACTAGGAAATAGGGCTTTTACTGTTGTTTTTCCCGACATATGATTTTATTAGACCTCATAAACAACGGTATGTCAACCGTCAGCATATAAATTATATTTGCAAATCTTTTTTTCTTTAATGTATACTACAATGTACGTATATTACACGACGATTACCTGACATGATTTTTCAGCCTTTCTTGAACTAGAAATTGACCCCCCTCACGCCCGGGTATTAATTTTGTTTCCTTGCGATAAATTGGATTTGTGTGAACCGTGGTGTTCCCCTGATAGTGAGATTCTTCTATTACCTTTGATGTACAGATATATAAAATGCCCATACTAAGGTGTTAACCTATAACCCGAATATAATTCACGTTGTACCCCAGGTGCTCGATTGATAAAGTATAGGGTACATTCCTAGTTATATACCAAAGTGAGGAACTATTGATATCGACAACTTTTATGGATAGACGGAAGTTAAAATAATACATGTATTTCAAAAATTTCCCTCCTCTTCCACTTGAAAATTCATGGAATTACAGTTAATTTTTGCCTTTTTAGCCGTAAAATAATCTTTGATAATGAAGAATTTTATTTTCTTGTTATTTTTTTTTTAAATTCGACCTGTTATTAAAGTGTATACAATACTACTCGTTAAACACAATCTAAAAAATTCAAGCTTACGTTGTTGCATTATTTGTGCATAAATTGCATAGTAATTTGTAAAGTTTTTATGACAATTTAAAGAAATAAAGTACAAGTCGTGCAATGCAGAAGTTTATATACTTTTAAAATAGCAAAATACGTATATTAGAATTTCATTTAGAATAAATTCTGGACAAAAATTAGGGCAAGAACGAAAAGTAATTTTGGTCATTATATTGGAGTAATGACTAGCAAAGGTAGACACCTGTGGTCAGAAACACCCCCCCCCTTCGATTCACACACTCTCAATATGCTAGTAATTGTTCTATCCAAAAAATCCTACGCTATACATATTTGAAAAAGATATGAAATTGAATTATTGTTTTGAATATCTATCTATCGGTTGGGGGTGGGGGGTGGTTCGCTTTAGAAATTTTATTTTGCAAATTCAGACAGCTTAAACAAATCATACATGTACCTAAACCAACAAATAGGGCTGCACAATTATATCGATGTTTCGGTAAATTGCGATTAGTTAAAAGAAACATCTTACTGCGACGTTTTTCCAGTACCGATATACAGCAAACTTCTGCGGCTTTAGATTTCGTAAATAAAATAATTATGTAATTCAATACTAGTATGTCAGGGTCGTTTCCAATTTTGCCAAAAAAAGTACTGAACGATAAAGTTACTGTTGTATATTTGCATTTCGTTCCAAAACTGCAGTGAAATTACAAGAGCCGTTTTTAACACATTCCTCTTACAGCGTCTGCTCAAGAGCAATTGGCGAAGTAAAGAGTTGATCCTTACGTCGCGGGTTCGAGTCTCACTGTGGGACTTGGAGACCCGGTCCGAAAAAGATCCCTCACTGCTCAATGGCTGTTAGTGCCGAGTACATGTATAAGACAACGTTTGCAGCTCTCCACCGGCAAGTGGTGGCGTCTCCATATGAGTGAAAAAATCTCGAGAAGGACATCAAAGAACATACAAACTAACAAATTAACACTCTCCAATTATACGTAGATGGAGGTTAAAAAATATAGAAAAGGAGCTTTTAACTGTCATTTCAAAATACTGCAATACATCTTTCAACATAGTAAAAATATCGCAATACAAAATTTCCAACCGATGTCCAGCCTCACCAACGAAACAAGTAAAACGTAGACAAATTCTTATAATTGCTGTACGAAAAGTTACTTTTTAAGCTCAGTCATGTCTGAAAAAGGTAAAATATATGTTTTAAAAAAGAGTAGTAAAATTGTGTGGCGTGATGTAGTGCTTCCTACCTTTCACAACCATCCACATTTTTGAAAATTAGAGGCAACGCGAAAAGAGAATTTTTCTGATGAAATTAAAAAGAAAAAAGCTCTCATTTATTATTTGAAGAATAGCCCGTGCAAGTTCGTGGGCAAACGCGTAAATGTTCTTTAAACAAAATGTTAATTATAACCACACTTTTAAAAAAAAATATTGGACAAAGTAAAATAAATGACAAAACATTTCAAGTTTTTTAAAATTTGATTAAAACCATTCAAAATAATACCTTTCTAAGATACATACATAACGTTCAAAAGAAAGTAAAACAAATTTGATTTCCTAACTGAATGAATACTTAATTTAAATTTGAAAGATTTCTCAATTTAATTATTTGATCTTATGTAATATGTAGCTCAGATTGTAAATTTGTCTAAATATGATAATTTATGTAAAATTCTGAATCGCATTAATAAGTCTGTATGGGGTACCCTTTCACCAGACAAAAAATTATGAATATGGTGTAATGTACGTTAGCGACCCACTTTTGACCTAGCACGGCCATGTTTCCGTGAGATAAGAAGTCTTCCCGCTCTCTGACAGTGAACAAATGTCTCTGAACAAACAAGCAGTTCTAAGGCTACAATAGTTCAAACTGACCCATCCCTGTGGATAGATGTCCAATTTTTGATCGAGAACAGGAGGGGCGAAAATGTAAGTTAACTTGGACTTCATATTCTACTATATCGAAGTTTTTTTAAAGATTTAATATATAATAGGTGACCCTTTGAATGAGAAGGGACGATGGCTCATAAGAAAGTAAGGTATTCTGGTATAGCTTTCGTAGAGTATCATTTTATTATATCTATTTCAAGCTTTCAATTTATTTTTTGGCACGATTTGTGATGGTACGTACCTTGATTCTTAATCTTTTATCTCGTTTATTAACAATGATAAGGATTCTTATCGCAAAAGACAATGTGTAAATCTTCTAAGTTTAGCACCATGCGTCAGCGATAAGTAATCTAATTAAATGTTAAATCATAAAGAGATTCTGGCTATTCTGTATGCTAATTAATAGATCTGACAATGAGATAATTCTAAAGGAATTACCAAAAGGCCAGGTCACGTAATATCACGTAACAATCTACCCACGGAAAATGGACCCGTCATCTAACCTTAAAACAAAGGTGGTTAATGTTGCTCCTTGCCGAACCACTTAGATCTTGTTAATGATTTTATCTACAAATCAAAGCATAGATCAAATAACGATCGATCTGGGTCGTGACCCAGTCTTTTAATTATTTGTAAAATGCAATATGTTTAAATGCATTTCCTCTGCATCCCAGCTTTTGTTCGAGTGTCCTACATGTCGTGGGGTTTGTTGGTCTTTCTGCATCCATACCCTATATAGTTGAAACCGATACCGTCTGTCGCTCCTTGACCTACAATCAAAAAACAAACAATAGATTATAAGCATCAACTTTTTTAAAAACAGTGTAAATTTAAATAGATGTCTTTGTGTAGTAGAAAAAGTCACGATTGAATTTCTACTATTGCAATATTGGATGTCAGTTTTTGTATTTAGCAGAACAAAGAGTTTGCAGATGTACTATTGGAAATGACATCATGATTGAACCCTATACATGAAAAACATGTCAAAACTATTAACCATGCGTTTTTTGCATGTCTTTGCTTTTGTTAAAAACCAATCCAACAATGTGTATTTGAGCATCTTTGAAACATACCGGCCTACTTAACTTCGTGCCTTTTTGTGTCATTTGTAACAACTGGCTCTATATTACACAACCAAAGTAGATAAATTACAAATGTTCACAGTTTTATTTCTATAGTTTTCGGGCTTTCTGCTATTTATAGGGGATAATATACCATTCATGATATGCAATAATTCTTCCCATGGTTACCAAATCAACACTTAGAGACACATAAAAAGACGGAGAAAGGGTTCATAAACTATTACACCATTGACCTTTCACAGTCGGGGGTTATTGAATATTGGCCGGTTATCTGAATTTTATCAACTTTAGATAGTACAAGATTATAATCCACGGTTAAATTCTAAACCTACGATGTTTGTAATACCCTGCTGTTTAAACACGGTTACCATGGTACATGGACACAGCAAATTTGAAAAGGGGTTTTCGGAGTTTAATATTAGGAAGTCGGTTATGTAACTATGTAGACACCACAGAATGAATGTATAAGGTCTGGCACTGATTGAGAAGCATATATTTTTTCATAATGATTGTACATGCATACAAATTATCTGGGTTTTTTTTCAAAAAGGAAAGGCCAACAAGTTTGAAATCATTTTTCATATTAATTGCATTTGGAATAACATATTTTTTCTTTTCATTATATGTACAAAGATTAATTCAAAGGATCGTAACTGAAAAATTAATATGACTCAATTTCTCCCCTCAATATTGATGTAAATGTCGGATTCTTTATTATAGGGGTATTTACGAATCCATATCTGTCAACGTTCGTTCGTGTGTCACCAAATTTACAATATCGTCATAAAAACTATAACCTTTTTTCATTGTTCAGTTTTGATTCTTTTTTCCTTGTGATATCAATTCCTTTCAGTTCTAATCTTTCAATGTAAGCAAGACTCCTGGACATTCACCTATTTAAATCACCAGGCTTAATCCAGAACTGTAAATAACGTTGACTTCAATGTAACACCTATTTTAAAATGATTAACTCAGATTCTTTTTTTTTTTTTTTAAAAAAAATGATCGTCCTTAATATGATCTATATTTAAAATCTTTCCCAGATTTACTCAGTTTATTCTATTGAATCCTTATTGGAATAGTAAAAACAAAAATAGACCAATTCATTGATTTTCAAGGGCATGTTTTCAAATCTTTATGAAAAGATATTAAACTTCCTGTTTTCTATAACGGACAAATACAACAATTTAGCTTCTAAACTGAAGGCGCAAGAATTATCGATATTGGTCGACAAAAAGACAACATGAGACTTATAACTAGACAATTACCACATTATCAAGCCATTTAAAAAAACTATGTACTCTACCAGCAAAATAAATTTGTCAAAAGCTACAAACTTTTTTTGCAATCGGATACTCTGCTCATATTGTCAGTCAGTGGGTAAATGGAGTTCAAATCCCGTTGTTCTTAGAAAAGGACGGTGCAAAGGTAGACTCTCTCTTCATCATCAATCAAAAGAATGTTACGATGTCTTGCCTTACTTTCCAGTGATCCTTTTTGGGATGGAGGCGGTGTCTCTAATTCTTAATTCTAAAACCGACGGCACCTCTACGTTCTGATTTCTTCGGGTTGTTTTGTCCAGTTGAGACTGGTGATGAAGTACATGTACTTTTATTATTGTTTTGAATGGTTCAGACGGTGACAAAGTACTTTTAACCACGTTCTGATTTTTGACTCCGGTGACTGTTAAGAAAATAGTATTTGGGAAAAGTGTTGGAAGTGCTAGTGAAAATTGTTCATTCACTGAAGATTTTCTCGCTCATTCTAATTTCTAGTACAAACGATAGTCACGGACAAACGGTAAAAGTAAAAAAGAAAAGTTATGGACAGATAACTGAGAGGAAGTCTTCTTCTCGGGACATATTCTTTTCAGACTGTTAACCAATCTTATTTGTTGACCTCGATCCTTCAATTGAAAATAGTCATATTTTATAAATTTCTAAAATTTCAAATTCAATCATTTTATAGAGCAAGTTTTCTACGTTACATTACTATTTAATGCTAGGAAAGTCCTCCACGTAGCGCAGTGACTCACCGCTAGAGCTTTTACTCTACAGCCGAGGAATAATGTCATGGGTTCGAATCCCACTTCGAAACGTGGGGACCTGACCGTATTAAACTGAGATTTCGTGTCGTAATAAGTGCTGGCATAAAAAGACATCAAATCGCTTCAAATTGAAATTAATATATAAAGTAGTTGACAAACAAAAATTTTCTTTGTAAAATTCTTTCGAGAAAAATCACTTGGTCTGTCTTGAAAAAGAAAGTGGTATTCTTGAAATTCATCCTTTAAATCTCCAGCCCTCCACCGGCCAGTGGTGGTGTCTCGATATGAATGAAAAATTCTTGAAAGAACGTTACATGTTCGCCCACCTTTAAATGCAACCCTCCACCGGCAAGTGGTGACGTCCCAATATAAGAATATAAGATTCTTGAAGGAACGTTAAACAAACATACGGTTGGAAAAGGTGAACGACCGGTCCCATTCCTTATATATAACAACAAAACAAATTCAGGTGTTAATATCATACAGCAGGGTCTATCTCAAGAATTTGATACTTGATATAGAGGACAACAGTCAACAAATTATTCATGACGTAACATAAATGATTCATCTTTCCGTTTTTTGTACAAAAAATCAACCATGACCATCTAAATACATGTATACCACACGTCCATAGGTAGTGCAAGCAATACCTGTAACTTACGGATAAAGGTACAAAGGTTTAACGGGGGATCATAATTTACCAGGATTTCTCCTCGAGATTTTTAAAAACCGGTAGAACAGCACATTTTTTCTCGACTGTACCGCAACTGAGTATCTGTTCACTTCAGGCCAAGCGTGACATCCAACTTGTGGGTGTGTGTGACTAAATCAGAGAACTATGTTTACTTCTCTTCCGTTTAGTTTCCATTGATAAGTGTATAACGTGAATTGGGGACTTTTGTGGACTTTTAACTGGACACTCTTCTTGACGGTCAGAGACTCAGGTGTAGTGGGTATAGAGGACCATAAACCCCGGGACAAATCAGGGGAACTATCCTAAACCATGTAGGTATTCAAATCCGAGACTATTAAGACAGATTTACGTGTATGTACCACAAACTCGTGTGATATCTATTAAGGTTTAGTTTAAGGGCAAATTGGTTTAAAAAAAGATTTTGATTGGATTATAGAAGATGTTTTAGTATATTGTTTTTCAGGGTTACAGGTAGGTTAAAATTGTGCTTATGGTCAACTTTCCGGAAGTGTGCACTTTTATGCAAACCTTTCAGAATTTTTTTTTTTAAATTGTGTTTACAAGTAAAAAAAAAAACACGGAAAGAATCTTAGAGTATGATGTGTAAAGACCTTAGGGGAAAATTAACCCACAAAATTGTTAAAATTTGTTGGATTATAGACTTATCCTGTCCCCCAAATTTTTGGGAAATCTATCTTTGACTATAGGCGACATAACTGATAAGTATGTTTATCCTACACACGTCGCATTTGATGAAGTATCTTTTAATATTCAAGGCCCATATCTCTCTTGGTTTTGATAAAGTGGGGCAGTGGAAAGTCGTGACACATTTATAAGGCATACATCATTGAACACACTTAACTAAGATGTAGAAGTTCAGTGATGTGAAGAAAGTATTTATATAGTCGAAATTGTTTTCAGTCAAAATTCAGCAAATTAACTGGAAAAACTTGCCTTGTATATATTACAACATCACAGAGTGTAACCTTTTCTATACCGTAAACTACTTAGATTTTCACTAGAGACTGATCGAAACGGTACGCTCGCGCTCATACAAATATTGCGAAATACTTCATACTTAAGATCATTAAAGTTTCACAATATTTGTTAGCTCTTTAATGATGTCATAATCTTACAAGATCAGCATTAGATAGGTTGTGTTTCCTAGATGTAAGTAAAATTATGACAAAAAGTGTGATATATGTTCATGTAATTCAGGTGGTATAGAGGGAAAAATTTCCAAGGTTTGTTAATTTTAAAGAAAGATAGGGTGTCTAAACACAGAAAATTATTTATACAATTAAAAACTTTCTTTGATTGTTAGTACGGAAATTAATGTTGCAGCTGTTGCAGTAATGAATACATACATAAACCTCGTAATTAAGCGCTTTATGTAATGATTTTATCTGATATAACTGCGACGTTAATCCCTGTACTAACAACCAAAGAAGGACATTTTGTTTATATTTTTATATGTATATATAATATTTTAAAATAGGATTAAATTTAATAATTGTTTTATTGATATGTACGTCATAGTTCATTTCATTGATGGAACAGCCACTGATCAAGAAATCTGTACAGGTAGTGTTGTTCATTAACTGATAAACGGCAATGCTTTTCTAAGAACTAAAAGAAGAAATTGTGGACGTAAATGTTTAGGTATTGACATGCAGATCACTTGCTGCAAAATAATTAGTATGGTGTTAAAATATTTCCGCCGGTTTCCATAGACACAAGATCTATGATATTGGGGGAGACCCAACGTCGTAAGTATAAAACTAAGCGTATGAACAAATGAACTAACGTTAACTAACCAACTGCTGCCTGGCGGCTTACTAGCTTTTTGCTTGTTTGGTTTGAAAACATTGAAAATAACCACAATCCTCTTTTGTATGACAAACACAAAATGAGTGTAAAGTCAGCGAGACCGAAATTTGAATGTTTTGTTTTGTCCCGTCCTTTAGCTTTTTTCCGTTGGCATCGCCCACGGCGTGAGTATAGTTGGATCCGCTCCACTCATCAGCGAGTTGCTCTCTAATGCTTAAGTTGAATAAATCGAAATTTTGTAACACTCTTAAATTCTATGATGTTTTGTATAATTGAATAAGGATTTTATTTTGAATTGCCTTGGTTGTTAAAAATGCCATTGAATACTGTTATACACAAAAGTTTAACTTGATAAAGTCTAAACTTTTAATGTAATACTAGTATATTGATTGTTGAAATATTTTTGCAAAATTACATGGAAAGTTCTTTGCTGTTGTCATAAAAGATTGCAATAGTAACTGGAAATTTCATGTATATCTAAAAAAATAAATAATTCAGTGCATGAAAGGTAATCTTGATAGGTGATAAACAAACATTAGCTTTATGTCAAGTCAACTGAATTATATATCTGATTGGAATTTTAAATATGAACAATTTACATACACCAAAAAAAGGTTTCTTGCACTGCAATTGAGAGGTGTTCGTTAAATCGATAAATTGATTACACTTGATTAATATGATTTTAAAGAAAACTATTAAAAGGCAAACAGGTGAAAGAATTGTGTTGATCCATCTGATAAGTCAGCCTACACACATAGAGTAAAAGTAATACAAGTTTTAAATGGACTAGTGCAGAAAATCTCAAATAAAATAACTTATCAAGAGCCCACGCCCTTAAACAAGCAAACGCCGTATTTTAAATTTGCCATCAATCTTGAATTTATAGGTTTTGAGTGTTGTAAATTTACCTTTACTATGAAAATTCAATTACTTGGGCTTCTTTTAATATTTTAGGTTTTCTAAAACAATGTTTAATATATATACTGATAGTAATACTAGTATGTTTTTTAAATATATTCTCGTATTTTGTGTTCTCTTAAAAAAATTGAAATACATTTGGACGAGAACAATTAAATATATATTCTTTTCCAACATTTAAAGTAAACAAAAGAAAACCAGTTTAATTCTTATAAAACATGAGCAAAAATGAAATATAAAATCTACTATCGACATGCTTTCTGTATCACACTATCTTTATTTTCAGGGTGGAAGGTATTCTCGGTGCGGTCCCCTCTATTTCCAAACTCCGAGGGAACAACAACGATGACTGGATTGATCGCCTCAATCATCGTTACACGGTTATTCTCCTCGTTATCTTCGCTGTCGTCGTCAGTACAGGGCAGTTTGTGGGGGAACCAATCCAGTGCTGGTGCCCGGCCGAGTTTACAGATGCATACGAAGCCTACACTACATACATCTGCTGGATTTCGAATACGTATTATATACCAATGGAGGAAACCATTCCAATTGATATTCGTACGCGACAGGAAGCGGAAATAACGTACTATCAGTGGGTACCAATCATTCTACTTTTCCAGGCGCTAATGTTTAAAATCCCTAATCTTTTCTGGCGATTCACTCATAGTGCTTCCGGTGTGAATCTGAATAAAATTGTGGCCATGGCAGAGGAAACTCAGGTTGGTTCTCCCGAAGACAGAGCGGAAACTATCAAAAACCTCGCCAACTATCTCGACAAATGGTTGGGGACTTATCAAGAATACAGAAACAATATATTTGTCCGTGCCAAGAAAAAAGCAGAACGATTTTGTTTCTTCATCTGCGACCGCCGAGGTGGGACATATCTAATTGGTCTCTTCATTACCATCAAGGTTGTCTACATGGCTAACGTTATTGGACAATTTTTCATTCTAAATGCGTTTATGGCGACCAAATACAACCTTTACGGGTTTGAAGTGATTCAAAGTTTGATTGACAACGAACCGGTGATGGAGTCCCCGCGATTTCCGCGCGTCACCCTCTGCGACTTCCAGATCAGACAACTTCAGAACCTTCAACGATGGACAGTACAATGCGTACTTCCTGTTAATCTATTCAACGAAAAGATCTTTATTTTCCTGTGGTTTTGGTTTTTTCTGATCGCCTTTCTGACAGCCATAAATCTTTTGAAATGGTTATTCTACCAGCTATACCAAAATAATAAAGTGCAATATGTTAAAAAGTACTTGAAAATAAACAATGAAATCAACACAGGTTTCGATAAGAAGTTGTGTGCAAAATTCTCCAGGGAATATCTCAGAAATGACGGAGTATTCCTTATGTATGTGATTTCTAAAAACGCTACAAATATGGTTGTTACAGATCTGTTGCACGAACTCTGGAAAATCTTTAAGGAAAAACACAAGCCACACTCAAACAATTTTGACGAGCCTCTTTTGAACAGTGAAAAAGAACCTCTTGAAGGAGGACATCTACACAACAGCTCAGCTTAGATCGAAAAATGAGTGCTAGCTCAAACACCGAGGAGGTACGAAAAGTCCTTCCGACTTCCGTTGAGTAGAAACTAGTGTTTCGAATTCCCCGGAAGTGACATAACCACAGCCACTTCCGTTGAGAAGAAACTAGTGTTTCGAATTCCCCGGAAGTGACATAATCACAGCCCCAGGACTGTGAATACCAGAATTGTCAATCGAAGAGAGGGAAAGTACTCTTATAAAGAAATGCTTTCGAAATTCGATCAGAAAGACAATTTTATTAGGTGCTATGAATATGCAGTTTTTCATTTTCAGTCTAAATTTGAAAATGGATATTTCAGGACAAATTAATATTCAACTTCAGACTAAAAATGATTAAACGCGACAGATTTATGCATACCGGTATATATATTAGTAGTCTGCTTAATGTCTCATTTCTTACCGATATTAGTAACATGGTATTTGTAAGGCTTTTTTTTTTTTGAAAACGACTCGCATTCTCGAAGATATTATCTGTTTTTGCATTGATATACATTATACATTTTTTTCAGTCGCAGAATCGGTTTGTTTATTTTGTATTTTTGGCGTTATTATTTGCTTCGTCTGTGGCATTATTTGTAAATCACTGTGATTAACATTGATGTTAAACTACACACAATAATGGTGCTATTCATCTAATCAGTAGCCATTATGATTGGTAAATCTTTGACATTTATTACAAGAATGATTTCTGAATTCAAATAATAATACCGGAATGTGATTTATTTGTTTTACTTACATATCATCATGAGTTCTATGCTTGTTTCAGAAGGTAACAATATTCCTTGCCAAAATATATGGAGTGTTTTTGACTTTTTTTTTTTTTGTGGATTTTTTTCTTTATACATGTATAACTCATAAAAAAAAGTTATGTTTACATTTTGTAAGCTAACAAAGTGTACAAATTTTCATAGTAAAACAATTCCAAACGTATTTGTCCATTTTGTCTCTAGACCAGGATGCATGAAGAAAACTTCATATCTTAATATTAAGTTTGCGTTTGTCGATGTTTGGGACTAGGAACAGCCATTATTCACCTTCCTCTAACAAGTACACCTGAGATAGCAACAACAGACCAAAGATGTACAGAGATATAGTTACCACATAGACCTTTCTTATCATGTGAAGTTGCTCGGGGCAATGGCTGTAGATACTAGCTGTTTACCTAGGTGTGCATTTGTGCGACCAAGAATTTGTCAACTCGTACAGGCGACAAACTTAGTGATTATAGTCCATTTAGTCCTGTCAGGACGCTGTCTGAGAACACAAAGTAAAGTGGAACAGGTAGAAAAAAGTATTTTAAGGTCCTCCCGTTAGGCGAGACCTGTCAGAAACAAAACTTGTGACAAATCCATGCCCCCTGAAATGATTTGCTTCCCCTACCAGCAAAGGTCAATGACTAAAAGGTCTATTTCACATTACCTTTAAAATACTGTTGGGCACTTGAAAAAAAGCTAAAAGGTACATGGATAAAAAACAAAAGATAGCTATCTTATATACAAATATTATTTGGGCAAAGTAACTCGAAATGAGTGTGAAGAACTCGCTATTCGTAATTATCATCAGTGCAAATAATTTACATGTATTAGCAAAATGTAAAGGAGTAAAGCAGGAAATGCGGGAAAAAATGACATAATTTCAATAATTCCACTTTTTCCATATCATTGGTCTTGATGGTAACCAAAGCACAATTTAAGAACGAACAGCATCAGTAGCTTATCATACACACAATTAATCTGCTGGGAGCACAGAAGTAGAGAAAATTTTTACGAATTTGTTCTTCTATATTATGGTCAGCCTACTCAGCCACGGTCCATACTTGAGCCTTTGTCTGGATCAAGAGGGCGATTTTTTTCAGCCACAGTCCATACAAGTTTAAGTTTATGCTGTACAATCTCATTGTTTTTGTTATAAATTGTTTAAAATTAAAATAATACACAATCTTGTTTTAACCATGAAATCTGCAAATTGACTACTATTTGGTATGGTTCAACAGCTCCATAGAAAAGCGAGCAAATTGATCCCCTTTTTTGGACGACGAAAAATCAGAACGAAATAGAAAAACCCAAATTAGAAAATACTAGTAATCTCATCGTAAGATTATGTCCATGTATGTTTCACACTATTAAAATGATTCATTCAAGTTTTGAAGGGCTTCTTTCAATTTACATATTAACAATCCCAATATTTAATGGGATTGACGTCAGACTAACATAGGCCTTCCATATAATCTTCACCGATATTTTGTGCAGTTGCTTTTTCATGAAAAACTTTCTATTCGTCAGCAAAATTTTGACACATTTTGGTATTTCTCAAGTACTAGTATCACTCATTCGATGACCACATTCGTCCTGTCTTGATAACTTCCTGGTCCAGTGAAGATATGAGGAAATTTGAATATATTTTTTGTTGCTGCCCATTAAAAGAGGGAATAGCATTTTTAAATTTGTTTGTTTTATTTACGGAATGCTTATAATTTAATTTTCATTCATTTGATGTAAGAAAAAAAGATGATTGTTCTAACAAAATGACTTCAGTTTGTACAAAATTTGAATGTAACGTCAGGCGGATTGATACGTTTTTGACGCAAGTCATTGTGACGTAGGCAACCCATTTTATACGATATAAAGTAAATTTTTTATCCAATCAAATACAGCGTTACAACCAGAATTGAATTATTATTTTTTAAAGAACGGATTTCGAGTTTTTGTCCATAGAAAAATCAGACGATCTAAGTTTATATTGGAACATAAACAACGACCTGTAAGACGCCTCCAAAGTTTTGCATTTTTAACCAACAAAATAAATTAATTCGCCAAGTCAATGAATCATACTAATGAATTTAAATATGAAGATTTTTTCTCTAAATGTGTATGCTCCTTACATTTTTGATTAAGACTGCCCAGAAATTCTTGAAAAGGTTAAGTGTAGATGATATTATGCAATTCTATTAAAATAAAAACAAAATTTATTCAGTAATTAAAGTAACTTAATGTGACGACTACGCTAGCAGTTCGCACCGTAATCATAATTATAATTTGATTCTTTGTTTACAATTGATGTTTTACAGGAAATCTTGATAGGCCCTCTCTCTATCTTTTATACAATATCACTTTTTACCTCGCCGAAGTCGAGATGAGCTTAATCTATATCTTGGCATTGGCGTTGTCATCCCGATTAAAACTGATTAAAAATAAAGATCCATCTTGATAAAAAAAAACCGCATGGCCGAGGCATCTAGGGGTGTCAAACTTGCTTCGGAAGGTGCACATGACCTATATTTTTTTAATGTATGAACAGATAAAAGCTTTCAGAGAAAGTCCATTTTTAAATTACTCTAAATCTCTCGGGCGCCAAACCTGCAAGGATCATGCATCTACATGTATGGGTGTACACTACCAGACATGCTTCGGATTCTTCATCTGACCTACATGCATTGGATGCTTGATCTGACCTACACTTTACCGATGAGTAATCAGGTTAAAACTGTTGAAACATGTTCATTTACTGGCAATTTTAAGCCATATTGTGATTTTTCCGTTGTTTCCCGATCGTGGGATGGAGCACACAGCCACAAGCACCTGACGTTACTTATTTTTCTTTTAATAAAAAAATATACACCCTACCTAATAATTATGTAGGGGGTATATTTTTTTATTAAAAGAAAAATAAGTAACGTCAGGTGCCTGTGCACAAGGCGGGTTTGACCGGTTGGCAGGGGATGTTCACTCCTCCATGGCACCTGATCCCACCTCTGATGTTTTCAAGGTCCGTGTTTTCTCATCCAATTTTGTATTGTTAATGGACTTTTGATCTTGAATACTGTTCGTTATCTCCATATGTTTCACTGTGACAGAACACCTATCGAGTATTTGTACTTCTTTCGGATGCTGGATCTATTTTCTAGACGATTAAACAAGTTTAAGTTTATGTAGCAAGTCCATTTTAGGGTAACTATAAGCCGGGTTAAACTCGCAGGGGTATTGCATTAGGGATGCACATACCAGATATGCTTCAGATTCTCGGTATGGTCTTTATTTGCAAGATAAAAGAATAATCACGTCAAAGCTTTTGGTGCAGGTTCATTCCAAATTCACAAAAAAGTATACTTGCAAAAATGGTACATATTAAGATGTACAAGATCAGACATACTCTGAAGGAAGCATCTGACAGTTATTTGCCAGTGATTGAAACATTTCCAGGAACTATTTTTTACGAAATATAAAGCCTATACAAAGGCCAAACTTGCTAGATTTTGCAATATTACTGAAACCTTTAACTGACATAAAACGATGTCATTACTCATAGCTAACATTGGTCAAAGATGAATATTATCTTTGATTACCTGTTTGATAATCAAAATAGTGTAAATTCATATAATATAGCATTAATACATAAACAAAGATTTGTTGTGTTTAAATTGAAAATAGTTTTAACGCTTGGTGTATATGATACAATTTATATCAATTTCTTGCCATCATGCGATGTCCATTGTGCTAAGTAAGCATTTATGAGCATAAAGTATGCATAAGATAACATTTAAATTAGAGATATATGACGCTTAAAGTTTTAAGTTACACGTCATTTTTTTGTGTGTATTTCAGAGTTTTTATATATACAGTGAAGCATCCAGTACATTAAGAATGTATTTTATCACGTGCATTTTCCGTGACTTAAAAATGCAATACATACACATATATGGCATGGGTTTTACGTTTGAAATTAAAGTGATGAAATATAAAACCTATTTTATTTCATAGGCGTGGGAACAAAGATATCATAATTCTTTTACAAGGAGATAAACACAATGCCGTATATCAGCGGTCTTTAGAAATACGCTGGAGACTATATCTCATTTTTTGGGTTCTAAAGTGTGTGGTGATATTACATTCTGTATCTATGCAGACGTTACCTGATAAAACCCGTCCTCGTGTCCCGCCATGAGACAGGTATCAGGTATATATAACAAGTAGGTAAATATGGGTAGATATACTGAGGTGTCAGTCCCCTAACTCCCACTGCACAGCGTGCGTGCAGATAAGGATTTAGATTAGGTCAATGATGGGGTACGCTCAAACTTTTCAGGTGATAGTGTTTAATTACTCACAGTTCAAACAAATATTTAAGGAGTAAACTTTATATACTCAGAGATAAGAAATTGAATGTTAAGCGGGTGTGACGGTATGCCCATTGCATGCAAGCAGTTTGCTGTTGTACGTCATTTATTTACCATGGATGGTGCGGTTTGGTTTTCTGTAAACTTGACGTATAAGACCATATAACGCCCACCTGTTAAAAAAAATAAATTACAGACCACAAAAAAAAAAAAAGGATGGAGACATTGATGTCTTGCAGAAATCAGTACGTGCAGATAATGTGCATTCTGCACATAGCATGGTACGTAACTTTGAACATTTGGAATAAAATTTTATAGGATGTAAACGAAATTGTTTGTATACCGTGACGAAGTGTTCATTTATTGCCTTCGTTTGAACAAGCAAAAATTCCTGGAATGTTTTGTCAGAGTAAAAAAAGGTACTGGATCAATGCTTCAAAAGCTTACATGTTAAAAACATATAGGCTTGCTTCCAAAAAATGAAAACTCTGTTATAGACAGATTTATTTTGTTATAGACAGATTTATTTTGTTTCATGATAAGTGGAAAGATAATGGAAGTGGAAATTGAGATGAACAGAAATATTACTTGAGCAATATTTCAAAGAGATTAATTGGTATAGCGTCTGGTTCCTTCCATACATTTTGTCAAATACAGACACGGTATAATATCCCTAAAAAGATGGCTGCAATACTCCTGTGTAGATGCGCTGAATTCCATCAAATATACATTCTAAATATGAGGCTAATCAATTGAAAACTCAGAATAAACTTGAAGTGTGATTACTTTTAGACAAATTATACCCCTGTATCGAATA